TGTTTCTATATTATCTTTGCCGGTTTCTTGTCTTATGACATAGTGGGGTGTGCATCTTTGCCATCGAAAAACGGATTTGAAAAATCTGCTTTGAGCAGACTCAAGCATATCACAATACCTGAGAGCCCAAATTTCTGCCGCATATAGTAGAGTTGCTAGTGTGACCGAGTCCCATAATTTTAATACGGATTTGAAAGAGTTATTTTTCGCTTTTTGTAGTATTTGTATCACGGAACTTCCGGCTATAGCTGTGCGGGATATTGCGTCATCAGCTTGCATTGCAAATAGTCCGCTGCTTGTAAATTTGACACCTAAGTACACGTAGTGTTTTACAACTTCAATTTCTTCGCCTCCATATTTGAAGCGTGGGAGTTTACCTGGTTTTCTGCCACAGTGACAGGGGTTTTGACTTTATTTATTCATTTATTTATTTATTTATCTATTTACAAAATACACGGACAAAGTCCATTAGCAAAGTTACAACAATAAAAACAAAACAAGAATGGCAGAAAGGAAACAAAAACAAATGTGAACAAATTCGAACAAATTATAAGATGAGGTAAAAAAATTAACAAAAAAAATAAATTCACATTTCCCTCCTAAGCTTCACCCCTGAAGTGGTCTCTCATCAGCGACTTGAAAACCCCTAAGGTGAAACCACCAGTTACAGACACCCCCAAAAATGTGACCAGTTATAGACACCCTTCGTCTAAATATGGTAATAATAAGAAAGAAGTGACTCGGTTCTTCGTGTTGTTGTTTTTAATTCAACCCACATTCTCAAGTGAGTTGAATTAAAAACAACACACAAAGAACCGAGTCACTTCTTTCTTATTATTACCATATTTAGACGAAGGGTGTCTATAACTGGTCACATTTTTGGGGGTGTCTGTAACTGGTGGTTTCACCTTAGGGGTTTTCAAGTCGCTGATGAGAGACCACCTCAGGGGTGAAGCTTAGGAGGGAAATGTGAATTTATTTTTTTTGTTAATTTTTTTACCTCATCTTATAATTTGTTCGAATTTGTTCACATTTGTTTTTGTTTCCTTTCTGCCATTCTTGTTTTGTTTTTATTGTTGTAACTTTGCTAATGGACTTTGTCCGTGTATTTTGTAAATAGATAAATAAATAAATAAATGAATAAATAAAGTCAAAACCCCTGTCACTGTGGCAGAAAACCAGGTAAACTCCCACGCTTCAAATATGGAGGCGAAGAAATTGAAGTTGTAAAACACTACGTGTACTTAGGTGTCAAATTTACAAGCAGCGGACTATTTGCAATGCAAGCTGATGACGCAATATCCCGCACAGCTATAGCCGGAAGTTCCGTGATACAAATACTACAAAAAGCGAAAAATAACTCTTTCAAATCCGTATTAAAATTATGGGACTCGGTCCCACTAGCAACTCTACTATATGCGGCAGAAATTTGGGCTCTCAGGTATTGTGATATGCTTGAGTCTGCTCAAAGCAGATTTTTCAAATCCGTTTTTCGATGGCAAAGATGCACACCCCACTATGTCATAAGACAAGAAACCGGCAAAGATAATATAGAAACAGTGGTATTGAAATCTGCCCTGAATTGGTTCCACAAGGTACAAAATATGCACGAGTCCAGGTACCCTAAAATATGCTTATCTCGACTCGAAAAACTAGATGAAAGTAGGTACAATATAATTAAATACAACTGGTTCTCTCAATTAAAAGCCATGTTACATAAAATTGACCAAGAATATCTATCTCTTAGAGAAACCACAGAACCAGCTGCGATCAGGAAAATGGTAAATGAAGTTCAGAAAAAAATATCAGAACTTAACATGGAAAAAGACAAAGAAAAGTTAAATGAAACAAAGTTTGTCCCCCATTATAACCTAATTAACACTGAGAATATTGATGCCAACCATAATTATTTATATCGTAAAGTGAGTTTTGCGAAAAAAAGACTATTCAGCCAACTACGAGCGAGAAATGTTAACTCCCTTAACATCACTATCAATCAGATGAACCATAGAATTAACCCTAACGAAATTTGCACAATTTGTAATACTCAACAACCTGAAGATGCGCGCCACTTATTCTTTGTTTGCCCCATTTACCATAACACTCGAAAATATTACTTACACAGCTACCTTAACAAAGACATAAACCTAATTCTTAGTAAAGACTCAAACGAGCAACAGCTTACAGATATTTATAATTATTTTGCGACAATTCTGAGTATAAGATCATTCATAATAAATGAATAACTGAACCAAAAAACTAAGTTTGCCTATCATGAACGCTGCTATTTCATGTACATAATTGTAAGCCCAGCATATCCTAAAGATAAGTGTAGCATAATGAAGTAATCTCATGTTTGTAAATGTTCTCCCAACCTAACCCCCCTTTGTTAAATCCTCCCCAGGATAAAAAATAAAGTATTCTATCTATCTATCTATCTATCTATCTATAACTGGTCACATTTTTGGGGGGTGTCTGTAACTGGTGGTTTCACCTTAATGTTACATCTAATAAATCGACAGATTTATAAAATCTGTAAAATCATCTAATAAAACTTTAATATGGGTTTGTGTTGGTAGCCGAGTGCTAGAGATAATGCAAAAAAATGTTTTCAAAAAAACACTTACATTTTATTAATAAAGTACCGAAGCTTTTCGAGGCGGACGCCTCATCGTCAGGGTAACAACAAAATTAATATCACAAAGGCCGTTGCCATACTTTAAATTTCAAACTAGGTAACAAGTGATAACAAGCTATTAGATCAGTCTTACTAATCAAAACGAAGTCAAGTAGTATCAAGTTAGTATCTGTTTCTCATCAGAGATGGCAGCACATTTTAGGTACAGGGGATTAGTTGCCAGGTCTACTTCTTTTTATACTTTTAATAATTGAGGAGGGTTCCGGAAAAAAGGCCCATCTGCGTATGGGCCCTTTTTCCGGAGAACGCATTAATGGATTGCCCGTGTCCTAAACTATATGTGCCTAAAGTTTCGTATCGATTCGCCAATTTTTAAAGCCACACGACCACTTTTCCGGGCGTGGGATTTCCACTAAATACCTCTATGAACGGGGTATCATCTAGAATATGACGCGAGAGCGAGACCCGAGCGCCCCGGCCAGCAGATAGCGATCCGACTGATAACAGCCCCTCTTTGTACATACATCGAATGCACTGATCACTAGCTGCAATCAGTAAATGCAGATTTCCGAGTTAATCAAGATGTCAACAGTGGCACCCACAAATAATAACACGCAGAATAATATTAATAATATTAGTGTGTGTCAGAGGATTTCTCTTCCTTTTTCGCGAAGTTAGTTCGTGTTGTTCGTCTCTATTCGTTGATGATATTTTCGCAATGTCCGAGAGTGGTAGTAACATTGTAAATAATGACAGATTAAAGCGTCATAAAAGTAAAAAAATAAACAGGTAAACACAGGTAACAGGTAACAGGTAAAAAACAAACAGAGTAAAGGCATCTGCCAAATTAAAAAGACTGCACGGTCACGTTACCAAACTTTATCCGGTAAAACCGTCTCGGGGAAAATTTTCAAGTCAATGACAGAATGTTGTGGTGGAAAGTGCTTCAGTTTTCAGACCGCCAAAGATGTCAGCTATTTATTTTATGTTATTTAGAAGAGATAATACTTTTTCTTTTTGTTTCAATTGTGCTTTTAACTAGTTTAGTCACAAAAACCGATTACCATCAGTGGATCTCCGGAAAAAGGGCCCATAATCGAATTTTTTTAAAAATTCCTCTCGCAGTCCAATTATGATTTGCAACTTTTGCCAATCTCTGATTTCATTCTAGGATATATGAATCCTTGTATGAAACATTCATTTTGAATTTTGAAGTCTCTTCGCGGTCAAAACACAGTAATGAAAACTTCAATGACGTTTTTCTCACAACGCAATTTTTCGGTATGGGCCCTTTTTCCGGAACCCTCCTCAATTCTTCCCCTCTTTTTACTGCCTTAGTTATTTCATAAAACTTTGATAAAACTTTAAGATGATCTTAAAATTTCACTCAGATATTAGCCACCATTGATAAATAGATGAATACTCAGGTATTTGCTGAAGAATACGGCAAGGATTACAGAAGAATTCTGTGTTGGCTAGTTTTCTTCTTTTTTTTTTCAATAGTTTGCAGTTACGTTGAATCAGTAGCGACTTTCTCAACTCTCTTTCAAAAATGTTTTTTAATGAGAAAAAACTTTCCTGTGAAACATTTTTCTTCGAATTTTAACATTACTTTTATTTATTTCTTTTGCTTTTCGTAGCGTGTGAATGTAACGGTCAAGGAACGCAGTGCCATGGTGACACTGGGAAGTGTTACTGCACGACTAAAGGCATTGTCGGTGACAGGTGTGACAAATGTGACTCTCAGAACCATTATCATGGCGATCCTACTAACGGTGGCTCCTGCTTTTGTAAGTTCAGTTTTTCTCTTTTTAATTTTTGGTCATTATGGGGCAGTTATGACTTGTTGCCCTCAAAAGAATACTGTCAAAATCATGGTTTCTAGGACCGAGAATAACCAGGATTTATCTGTATATGAAATATTTTAGGGAAAAGCAGTGAAAAATCAGGAAGTCGTTTTCAGAAATCAAGAATCTCTTTTTCTACTTCTTAAATGACGTATTTGAATCGTCAAATCATCAGAATAATAGAGAAGCTTACATCGACCAGATAATATAAACAAAAGGAACGCTTTTCGAATTGAGAACTTTGAATTTACGCCAAAGGATCGGCTGAAAGATAAAAAAATCGACATTCATACCTGGAATGGACCACTAGACAAGGTACAAATTTAAGCATTCTGATACATGTTTCTTAATAAGAATTTCTTGTAGAGCACAATTTGCGCAATGAAAACTAATGAAACAAACTCCAAATGAAGATATTAACGTTCTTATTTCACATTGGTTACGAGCAATTTGAACTGCCCGCTGACAAGAAACTCAAAGCTCTACAAGAGTCAAATCGCGCACTAATACGGTATCAACAAGCTTCTCAATAGGGTAATGTTCATTTCCCACCATGTGTTGTTCAAAATATAAGTAATTTGCTACAGCTGAGCCGAAGCGTCAAGATTGAGGTTGCCAGATTTTTATATCGCAGAGTCTGTCATGATAACGTTTAGCGCATGATGTGAATCATGCAGAGCATTGAGTTTTCATGAGTGGGTGGTTTGAATTCACGCATCAAGAATCATTAAATACCTTTGGAAGGTGTTGATTTCGGTGTTTTTCGTTGTGCGCGTCGTGTTTCACATGAAATTTTGCTTTAGAAACATGTATCAGAATGCTGAAATTCGTACCTTGTCTAGTGGTCCATTCTAGAGAGTCTTATAGAATTCCCCAAGCACAATAGGAAAAGTGGAAGAAAACTTTTGTTTCCCTTCAGGAAATGAGCCCCCAAAAATCAAGGAATGGGCAATGCTATGGATTCTAGTCTTCATGGTCTATATGTAATTTTACAGATAATTTTATCATTAATTTTATTGATGTTTTAAAAATCGTTCTAAATTGTAATTTTAAAGAAATAGCAGAGTGAGACATGCTGTCATGCTGAGACATGGCCTCTATTGACGATAAAATCTGAAAAATATCAGCAAAATCGGTCATGAATCAGGAATTTCCCAGTGTGTCAAGCACTTTTCAAATACATGCAGGTTAGCATAAGCAAAAATCAAACATATGATTTACGAATAATTGATTGAATATTTGGATTTGTAAAATCGCACACGTTTCAATCTATTTCCGCAGAAAATTGGGAAGTTTAATTTGAAACATCAGGAAAATCTAAAATGACACCCGTGAGTGAAAAGATGGTAGGCAATTAATTTGTTTCATCAAAGAGAGTAAATTACTTCAATTTCTGTGAAAAGTCAGAAGGCATTTTTTCTCATGGAGAAAATTGACTAACTGTCTAACTCTAACTAACAGGGTAGCTGATCTACTTTTACTCTAACAATGAACGCTTTCCATCAAATCTTTTTTCAGACGAGCTAGCAATAGACTATCAGTTCACTTTTAATCTATCAAAGAAAGAAGACAAGCACTATCAGCAAATCAATTTCAGAAATAGTCCCACCAAACCGGACATCGACGCTGAATTCAGCATAACGTGCTCTGTTATGGCCAAAATGAACATCACAATAAAAACAGGTCAGTTTAAATTTTATGAACAACTGTTAGCCTTTGTCTTGCAGTAGAAAAACATACCTGATAGGGGATTGCAATGATTCATCGCCAGATTTTTTTTTCTTTTTTTTTTGAGAAAGTAAAATAAAAAATCATTATCATAAGTTGAAAATATGCAAATCTACTTATCAAACTGATGTTCAGTTTGATCAATTACAGTTTTTTAAATTTATATATTTTTTATGGTGCAATAAATGGAATAAGCCCAGGATTCCAAATTAAATAACAAAACATTTAGCCAATCATCTTCATTTTTTTACTCTTTTTCTCCTTATAAATTACAAAGTTTTACCCTAACTTAGTCATTCTAAGTATTTTTATCTCAGATCTGTATCAGTAATTTCCCTTATTTTTCCTCGAAAGTTTCACTCTAACTACTTTTAGTATTATCTTATCTCCTTTACAAAAAGACCCAAAAAATTGCACTCTTCGATCAATTTGGAATCTGAAAAAACATAGACAATTTAAGGTAAAAAAGCAAGTAATTCCTTACATGATATCATTTTATCAATTTCCCATATGTCTTTCTTATACTGTTAACTTTCTATTACAGCCAATAGCGCTGAAAAACCGTTTTTAACAGCTCACAACTGCACGCAGTCGTATAAAACTAAATTCCTCAAGACTGATTATATTTTCGGGACGGAGAATAATATTTCGATGACAACTTTCCTCGTCTACGTTTATGATTTTCATCCTCCGCTGTGGATCCAGATTTCATTCTCTCAGTATCCGAAGCTGAATCTACAGCAGTTCTTCGTAACTTTCACATCGTGAGTGTAATATTTTCACAAGGTTTTTCCATTGAGCTTTTCCAAGAGTCAATTTTACATTCAAGTTGCTTCCACCAAGCCAAGAAATGCCAAAAAAATTAGTGTCTGTTAAGATTTACTTTTATCGGACAACATTTTTTTAAACCAGATATTTTTCAATTTAAGCGAGTGTGCAGAGAAACCAACTGCTTATGAAGTATGATGCCTAAAATAAAAATAATGCTTATTTCAGACGTTGTAAGTCTCAGCTAATTTTTTTTTTCTTTTTTCCTTTCTTTTTCGGAAGACGAATCAACAGTCTCTATTTCTAGTTTGTATCTGTGAATTTTCTTCACTCATTCTTGACTAACTCACACAAAATTACAATGAAAAATTTAATCAGAGGTTTTTAAACGTTTTAATTGAGGTACACGTGTTTTCCTTTTAGCCATCAATATCACAGCAGTCCTCAACTATTTCTGGAAGGTCGTTTTCAAGGTTCCTAGTATTGATAAGTCCGCTTTGCAGAATTCTGTAAATTTATCTCAAGATTTAACTGTGTTGTTGCTTATTTTAGAGGGACATTTTTTCTTATCATTTGCTGCGTGATAATCAGTTTTATTCATTTCTTGATTTTCCTTTTCGAACCATCTTTAACTCAATAGGAAAATTTTGTGTGTGCTTGGAGTGTTAAACGAAAACTTTCTTTGTTTCAGATGTTTTCTTCTGCTTCTCCTGGTAGCAGCAATTCTGTGGAAAATAAAGCAGAAATATGACATGTATAGGAGGAGACAGGTAGAGATAAATTAAATTATTGTAAATTGATAAAACATGCCTAAACCATATTAGATTCTTCATCAAACTTTACCTCATTCATCAGTAATAAAAATAGTTGGTTCAGTTTCTGAAAAAATGGACTCTTCGTGCATTTTTAAATTCAATCTTGTGTGAAAATGCACTTTACTTAAATGTTTTGGATTTGGAGGTCCAAGCATCTAAAAATTTCTTCAATAAGATGAGGAAGTTTAAAAATACAAGTGGAGAAGAGCAAGTGTCACACTGTCAAAATACTCCATCAAAATGTAAAGGTCAAGTGCTGTGATTGGTCCAAGTCATCAAATAAGCCAATCACAACTCACCATACTTTGTCAAAATTTTGAGCAATTACTTACTTTCACTCAATCACAAGTTTCAGCTGTAACTATGGGTCAAAATGCAAGTCAGTCAAGGAAAAAAGATGTTCAATATCTATGATCAGTGCTTTAATATAACCTCAATCGACTCTCAAATCAGTTCTAGTCTTTGTTATCATGGCCTCAAGGAGCTAACTTTAAGTGATTTGCCACCTAGAGCAAGTATATTTTCAGAAAATTGTTGAAGAAAACTTTGCTTCGATTTGTTTGAAAATAACCACCTGATTGAAGTTTTGTAAAGTTGTTGATCAATCGTTCTTCAGTCATCTGAGTGGTACTGAAGTTTCAATAGAAACTGGGTAGATTTAGTCTATGATATATAATTGACTATTCGGCACAAAAAGTAAAACTGATAAATGGCAATTTTCATCACAATTGTCTTGCTCATTTTCAAAACAAATTTTTTCTTATTTTTCTAGCGTCTATTCGTGGAAATGGAGCAAATGGCCAGTCGCCCATTTTCGCAGGTCGCTGTAGAGATCGAACGTAAAGATCAGAATACCATCTACGATGACGTTACGACACTCACTGTCTCGAGTTCACTTAAGCGCAGAAAAAAAGTAAGTTCTTGTTTTTGATCTTGAAGAATCAGCATCTTCAGAAAAAATCCTGTTAAAAATTATGAACATCGTTTATTTTAGTCTCGATTGTGTTATGTACTTGTAATCGTCAGATCTGAGAAATAGATTATAATGCACAGTCATTTTCATCAACCTAGGTCGAAAAATCAAGATGCAAATTGTCTATAGTCAACATTCTTAATATCCTGATGTATGAGTTGCGAGTGGTCTAGTTGAGTTTCGCACCAAAAGAGAGCTTAAAGTTACATTTTAACTTGATAATTTTAAATTCTAAATTCAGAGGACTACAAATTTTCATTGCTTTTTTCAAAAACTATATTTTATCACCTTCAAACTTCCAAATATTTTGACTTCGGGCTACCTTCATATTTTTGGGCATTTTTAATGCCAATATGAGGTGTGGACCTGCAAGAAAGCAAGTTTTTAGACATCAAGGATATTGTATTTTAATTTTTGAAGCTCTGTATTTTGCCTCTATCGCAACCAGGAAAATCCCTCTCTGGTGTTTTGTGGTGTGCAGATCTTTCTCTGCAAAAAACTTAATTAAAACCAGAAATGAATGACTTAAGTAAGGAATTTGCATATATATTGAGCTCCGCTATTTAGACAAAAAAAAAAAAAAAAAAAAAAAAAAAAAAAAAAACCGTTATATCTGTGCCTAAAAGTAGGTCTTGGGGGAACTTACACAATGTGCAATGGTTGATATTAGAAATAAAAACATGATATGTGACCATTTATTTTAATAATTTTAGATATGTGTTAAAATTTCTTGTAACTTCTAAAGAATATATACACAAATTGAATTCAGTCCCCAGTCAGGAAGGAAAAACAAAACAAGTAAGAAAAAAATTTGTCCTCAGATGGAAAAAATTATTCTTATCAGTTACCGGGAAAATCGTATTGATTTTTATTTTTTAAATGATTGTAGGATGAGCTTTTCCAGTTGAAATATTTTATTATTTCTTACGTTTGTCTGAAATTTATTTCACCTGATCATATTTTGCTTTTGTCCTCTCCACAGGACTCCCCTAGTCCAATTGCTTTGGAGCCATGCGCTGGGAACCGAGCAGCCGTTTTATCTTTATTAGTCAGACAACCAATGGGCTGTGAATCCTTTACGCCCAGCGGCCAATCAGGTAAGCAATCTTTTCAAGAAAAATGTCAATTTTCCGCACTGTTGTTTACTCTCTCCTTTCTCACCCACTGTCTAGAACATCTCAATTGAATCAATCATTTTCAAAAAGGCTCAAGTTCCTGGAATGGAAGCACAAGAAATACAGTCATACCTGTTTAAATCAAGCTGTTAAAAATCTCAGAGCTCATAAAAGTAATGTGCAAGAAGAAAGCAATTTATAATCGGACTGCAGTATTTCAGAAATCGTCCTATTATTTCACTCATAAATTGAGAAAAAAGGGAATTGGCGTCTGAGCCCTCTTGAGAATGAACCGAAAAATTTCAGTATTCCCAGTAGATGCGTACTCAGCCAAAGCAACAAAAAATTTTCGATTTTTCGGCGTTTCAGTCTTTTTGAGAAAGACTAATTCAATTTTCCTAATCTCAGAAGGAAAGCAATGCACACAATCTTGGAGGCTTCTTTGTACTTAAAGTCAGTTTAGGGTATCTACTGTTTGAAAAAAGTACAGTTACTCTGATATAGTAAGGATTTCTCCAAATGCTAAGGGGATCGTGTGGAATTCTCAAGAAAAAGTACAGACAGATATGTGAGATTTTTGTAATAAACTTGAAGAAGTAACCTCGAGAGTATGTAATATTTTTACTTAGTGCATCATGTAACGTTCTTGCAAAATTTCATAATTTGATTCAGTTGTTTTGGTCCATTTCTTCAACATCCTTGTTTTTAGCTAATCGCGCTGCAATACAAATGTTCCCATGCGGGTGTATGAATCGAATGAGGTGTGAGAATTTTTCCAGATTCAAGAGGGGTTTCAGGAACATGGGAATCAAATTAGCTGAAAATCTGTGTAGAATCAATCAAGCCATTTAGGACCTTTAACATAAACGAAAATTGTATTTTTAAAATGGGAATGCCAATTTAAAGTATGGGAAGACTAAAAACATATTGCACCTCTGCATATACTTATAAAAACGATTTCTGACTGTGGCTGTTGCTTATATTTGAAACTTATCACTCCAAATTTTAATCCCTTACTCACTTATATTTTCTTTTTGTTCTTTTCAGCAGGTCTAGTAATTGCCTCTGCTCTAGTCACTTTGGGTAACCCAAGGAAAGTCAGTATCGACCCTTCAGCAAAGATAGACACAACCAAAACGAAAATCCGAAAATCGAGTCAACACCCCGATAGCTGTATTTAACACGGACTTTACTCCTGTCTTTACTTCTTCTTCTCTTTTTTCCTCTTATTTTTATTCTACGTTCTTTATATTTTGTTATTATTTATTTGTTCCCAGTACGCTCTTTAGGTTCCTCAGAGACATTGATTCGTCAGAAAGAGTTGTGAAACCAATTGACGGAACTCAAACTTGACTGCTTCTGAAGTCACGTAGCTTTCAGTAGGCAAATTTCCGTGACTGGATTCCGTCGAGTTTTTAACCTACTGCCAACCTCTGTTACCAACATTGCCAACATCCTCCCTGGGCAATGGTGCGCCTACAACATTTGATTTTCATGCTGGCAGCAATGATGGCCACATCTAAAATTCTCGAACCACCTCCGGAGGTGAGTTGAAAAGCGGATGGATGGGAACGTTGGCCAAAATTCATCATGCAAGTGAGTTTAGCATTAGAATAAAAAATTATTAAATTTGTATCTTGACCCTGATAAAAGTGTAGAGTTGATTTTCTTTTACTTTTCTTTAATCCATCATCGACGACGGCTGTTTCGGTTTTGGGTGTGTCTTATTTTAAAGTTTTTAAGTTTTTACAAGTTTCCAAGAGTTTTTATCTCATGAAGTAACACGTTTTAACAGTTCAGACACGTCATATCGCAGTATATTGCAAGGAAAATACGTAAGACCTGAAGATGGGATCTACCCGAAACGGCCGTCGTCAATAATAGACTAAAGAAAAGTAAAAGAAAATCAACTCTACACCATTATCAGGGAAAGTATAGGTAAAAATTTAAAAATATTTTATTGTAATGCTATTACATCCCCTGATCAAGAATGAAATCACGAAATTTAACTGAGTTTAGTTCTTGACTTCACCAGAGCGTTTTTCTCCTTTGGTTTACAACCTTGCCGATCAGGTTGAAAAAGTCGACCAAATCCACTTGCGGAAATTCGTCCAGTGGCAGTCTTAAACTAAGGTTTTCAATGCTGGTTAGATATTTTTATAGGTTCTTTTATTCATTTGAGCTCAAACGAAAAGTTTTCCCTGTATCAAGAGTTGGATCTTATCTAAGTTTTTGTCCTGGACATAAGAATAATCCCAAGCATGTCCAAGCTTGATGAGGCAGCTTAACTAAAACTTCTGTTGAAAACAATGGGTTTTTTTCTCTCTCTCTCTCCCTCCTGCCATTTTTGTAACCTGATTAGTCTCGTAAATTCTTGGCGTTTTGTTTATTTGGTTGTTTGTTATCAATCTAGTGGAGTGCAACTCTGAGCTTGCTGTTTTTGGGCCCTTGAAAGTTGCAAATTCACTGCAACTTACAAGACATCCTCTTGAATATTCTGTGGCAAGCCAAGATCAACTTAATTTTTTTTCGAAAAACGGACATTTCTACTTTTTATACTCATCAAAGGTTTCTCCAACCTTATAGTCTGACCTTCAAATATTTGAACAGTCCTTTTTCTCTATTGGATGTGAGAAAATTCAATACTCCAATTTGCTTTAACCTTGACTACTTACTGATTTTCAAACTTCGTAAACATTACCAACCGTTGCTCTTTCTCAGAACTTACGTATTTTGAAAAGGGCTTGAACCAAAATTGTGAGCATTTCATCAAGTGAGATAAAACTAACACTGTGTCCATCTAAAATAAAGTTTTGATTCTTTTAACGGAGAGAAAACTGAAAATACTTAAACTTTCATTTAACTTAAAACCTTGAGGTCAGTACTTAACAAAATCCGTGAAAATTAAATATTGGCCGCCAGTTTGGATCATGTCACAGTTCAACTCTTTTCTATGTTTCAATGTTTTTGAGCTTTACTAATTGTTTCAAATTTTTTATTTTTTTATTAACTTAATTTATTTCCACTTTCTTACCTTTCTATTTTATATGTTTTACTGTTTCACTGTTCGCCAGCAAACTTAGAGTAAGGATTTAATCATTTTGTTTGCTGGTTTTGATAGAGAATTTGCCAAATTTTGCCTGTTGATTTAAGAGGAATCGGATGATTTTTTTTTTGTTAACTTGCAGCTATGTCTCGATGTCCAAGACCCACTGCGCAAGGGATGTTTGTTGATTATTTACAAAATTACTCCCAGTTGTTGACAACTGAGATTTTGACAATTATCGTGTCCTTTTATTTTATGAAATTTTTCCGCTTCTAATGTGGAGTTTTTGGAATAATGATGAGGAAATCGTCTTTATTTCAATTATTTTTAATTTTATTTTTTTAAAAAAACATCTTATGATTACTCTAAAACAAAGGAAAGTTCTGCTTTTCTGTATCTTGTATTCAAACAGTGCCCCCTGGGATCCTCAGCTTCACTAAATATATTTATGCGCACCTAATTAAATCACAGAGAGAACTTTATATTAGTTTTTTGTTTCTATTGAGTTGTATTTTGGCCGTAACCAGGCCGGTTTTAATGTGGCCTCATTTCATTAATTCTAGAGAATGACTGAATGTTTTATCTTCATTATAAGCGGAACTGATATCTGTGTTCTTCCATTTAGTGCATAAGTTTTTAAATGCTGTAATTTTAATAGACAAGCAATGCTAGCTGGCAAGTATGCTTGTGCAGTGGGTTGCCCATCGTCCTCTTTGGGCTAATTATTGAAATTGATAGACAAGGTGGTAGACAAAGAAGGCAAAAGGAATTTATAAAGCAATCCTATTGGTGGGCCATTTCAACCAATAGAATCGCTTCATTATCTCATGACTTGTTTGTCTATAGCTTTGTTTATCAATTCCAATACTCAGCCTGATGATTTGGTACTATTGTTATTGGGTGGATTTCGTGAGTTTTGCTCTCACTCATCGACGGTACCCTCCGTTGTCCCAGGGTAGCAATGGTGAATCATTGTCTGTTTATGGCATCAAGTCATAGCTTTGATCACTTTTAACTTTTTTCTGTTCTTGATCATGGGTCTGAATTGCAGCTTTTTGCTTCTTTGCTTCGTAAGGCAAGTTTGCAGTAACAATCTTTTTTAGAGTGTGTTAAAATATCGCTCTCTGTCAACTTAAAGTAGTTTGTATCAAGGTTCAAACAGTAAAATTGGCATTTGATGTGTTTCATTAAAATATGGGAAGATTTTTAATTTTAGGCCCAAAAAAGGACTAAAGTGTCTGAGCATAAGTCTGAAAAATCATCTGCATCAAATAGAATCGCAGAAATAAAAAAAATAAAAACGACTCCGTCTGTAATAAAAAAAAAATTATTGCTCTCAACACAGATGTCAGTATCGAAAGGGATCCTCTTTTTGTACACAGGCTTGAGCAGAGTTTTCAACAGTAGAATCAGCAGTAACTTGCAATCAAATTCGTATCTCATATCAGAAAATTGTGTTTGAAGAGTGGCAATAACTGTTTTAAAAAGTAACAATTTTGATAAATTGTCATTCATTTATTTATTTTCTTAATGGTTCTTTAGACTCATACACAGAGACAATAGTTCTTTTACAGGGGAAAAACTTGAAATTTGCCCAGATTTTTTATGCAATGGATTGCGTCCAAGTTTGACCACAGTCAAATCTCTTTTACCAGGAAAGGGATGGTTCACCATCCAAGTTCAATCGTCAACAGGATTATTTTGCCGAAATTTTTTGTGAGTGCTGGATGTACATGTTCAAGTTCAGGCGGATAGTTGGACAAAAAACAAAATTTTCACCAAATTAATGCAAGTATCATCTGCATTCTCTTCTGAATGAGAATTGCTTCTTTTCATTTTTGTTGGCCTCGATTTGAACGGAATCGTGAACCCTTTTTTCTATGCTATTTTTAAGGTTTTATAATGACAAAGCTCGGATATCTCAAAACTTTCTTGTCTATTCGTAATTATTACAATGATCTGCCTTCCTACCCCTCTTACTCCCCAATATCTCCTTATTTGCAGCTCTTGATGACTTTAACTCGTTGTCTGACAACATGTTTTTTTTTTCCTGAAAAATTTCCTTGGAAGGTTCCCATGTGGACGAAAGTTCAACATTATCAAGCCTCGCCTCAGTGCTGATTGACCTATTTTTGAGGCCCAATGCAATGGGTCAATTCAATTTGTTGATATTTTTACTTAAGTTCTTCACCCCCAAGTTTTAAGAATGTAAATATAATGGCAAAACCAGGGTTAAAATTGGGATTTTTTGACCCCCAAGCGCAGTGTGTGGTTCAAGCTTTATTAACAATTCACCTCCTATGAGACGGAAGAAGGCTCTATAGGTGCCCTCCTTGGAAAAATTGGGAATTTGAACCCCCACCAAACGCCATTTCGAACATTTTTTTCGCATTGTAATGGAAAAGAAATGGAGAGAATTCCCCTACAGACTTAACCATTAACCAATGAGAAAAAAAAGAAAAACAACCATAAACAGAAAGAAACCGTTGAGAGAGGAAGGAAAATAAAAAAAAGAATAAGGAAAAAAAAAACCTTTTGTGGTGTATGCCTATGAGCATCCGCTTTTGTAGTAATTACAGCTCCAGGCGAAACCGCACTGTAGTATCCCAATATAGCATTTAATTGTCAGTAGTTTTTTCAGTGTCTCTTTACCGAAAAGAGAATAGTCTGTTTAACTAACTTGTATCTGATAAACCGGGAGAATCCGCACTTGCCCACTTTTTTAAATTTTTTCTAGAAAATAATGTTTATTTATGATCACTCATTTATCTATCTTTCTTCTTAATCATTCCCTCGTACCTAATTTGTATTTATCTTTTACATAATCCTAAAATATCGTTTTTGTATCGCAATAAGTACTTTATTCCTAATAAGATTGGGAAAAACAGATGATAGATCTCATATTTTCTGTCAAGAAATTCCTTTATCCCAGGAATGAAAATATCAAGACGTTTATAACAAATAGGTAACAATCATTTTCCTCCATTTACTTGAAACCACTGAAAATAATTGTAGAGGAGGCAGCCAGCCTCGATGGATATCAATTTTTTTCATTTGTTTAAATGGAGAAAACCCAATTTGCGTTATGATCACTGAGTTTGCAAGCTTTAATCAGGAATAATCCCTTCAATGTACCATTTATTTCTTGTAGTTGGAAAAAAAAGTTGCTGAAGTAACATCCTAGATGTTTAAAATCTGCGAGACACCTCTTGAATGTTATTATGGACACTTTGGCTGTTACAGTAACATCCTAGCTACATTGAATTAGCATCCATATCGTTCATATCAACATTCAAAAGTTGTTGTGCAGATTTTTAATACCCGGGATGTTACTTCAGCAACTTTTTTTCCGTGTAGCATTTTTTGATCTCTTTAGTTGCGTCCCACACCTACGGTGGTGTTCATTTTTAAATAAAGATCTCGTAGAAAGGTGCACATCAGTCACTCCGTTTCAAATCTGGCCGCATATTTAATGACCTGTGACCAGCCAAAAAAATATTGATGGCTAAAGTTGAAAAATGCGTCTCCATTGCATCTTTTCGGAACGTTTGTTTGTGTTTTAGTTTTCAAAAGAAAACCAACAGCCACATCTCCTTGTAATTTTCTATGATTATTCCTGAATGCCTCAAGAAAATTCGTTGAAAATATCTAGAAAAACTAATGTAAGTTCTACTAATGTAATCAACTAATCTAAGAAAAAAAAAGAATAAAACACAAGAGGGAGTTTGCAATGCTGGAATTGGAGATCCAATTTTTTTTTAATCTGGCCACGACTGTTCCCAAAAATTCCTGTGATTTCGCTGTTCTCATGAAAACCTAACGATCAAAATTTTCAGGAATTAATTTTCTATGGCTCAGTGGTAAGCAATCAAATTGGCTCAGGTTTTGGAACGAAGTGATAGATTCTCTCTCATCTGCAAGAAATCATTTATATTGTCATTATTTAAATGAGTGCACAAAAATGCATCTGAACTATTCATTAACTATCATTTGTCATGCTCCTTGAGAAATGCGTATACATGAACTCAGCGGATGGCAGCTGAATCATGCTTTGAAACATATCTCGATTATGTATTGTTTAGCATTTTTGAACCTCAATCCATCTGCATCCAATCCAGTCAACCACCTTTCAAAATCGTTACTGTCAGTGAAACCTTTGCTGTTCCGATGGAAGGCATTGATGTTTGTCTTTGAAGTTGAGTGCTTCCGTAAGTTTCAGGAATTTCTACTGATCTATCCGAGCTTTGTCAAAACACTCTCAGTATTTTGCTCATGCCATTTCTTTTAACATTAGATCTCACAGATTTGTAGGTATATATTTTTTGTATTGGTTTCAGCGCGTGCCTCGCGACGCGTGTTCTATTACATAGAGTCTACTTTCTCAGACTGTGTCAGAAAAGAACTGAACTCCATGATCGTATTTTTAGTGAATTTCAATAACTCATTTTGTATTGTTGTATTTATGTACAGTATTATGTATCCTTGTAAATTTTATCTTTGATGTTAATTCTTATCACTTTTTCCATCTTCTCAATTTTTGTATTATTCCTGAAGAGTTGGAGGGAGTCCCTCTCAATCATCGCACCCAATCTCGAATTTAAATCAAGTTTTAGTTGAAAAATGTGTCACAATGAAAGTTTCTCGAAGAAGAATATTATGCTTTTTTATGCATTTCATAGACAGGGCCATTTTTAGAATATTTTAGGTTTAGGATCAACTGTTTCATCACAACGGGCTTCCAGACAATATATGAATCGAAGCATATTGTAACTTTTTTCCCCCCTCAAAATTTTTTAAGAAAAACAAATCACTCAACAGAAAGTCTGGAATTTAGCGCCTCAACAAGACACTTAGACGTGTTCACAATTAACATTGGTTAATTGGAAAAAATTCAAATGGACCACATTTTGCAATAAGGAATAAATATTTCTAGCTTATCGATAAAAGCGTCTATTTTCATATGGAAACTAGAAACTTATCGATAAAGCGAGTGGTCGCAATGAACACCTTAATAATCGATTCTTTACCATAGCTTCAAATGGATAAATATCGATTACCCATCATTCACGCCTTGCCACTGATTCAGTTTGATCAGCGTAACTTTTTTTTTTTCTTTATTTATATAAAAATTAATTCAAGGAGAGCCCACCACTTGCTTTATTGTAGTATAAAAATTTGGTCGAAAAAAGTGAGGGTCCCCTGCTTTTGGTCCGTAAGCAATAAAATTTGACCCAAGTAGATTCCAGTTTTTACTGTATTTTTCGAAGAAAATAAGTACACTATTTTGTTTGTTTGTTTTGTTTTGAGCAGGCTTTGTGAATACATGAAAATTGTTATTTTTCACTATAAAGCAGAATTTGGAAATTTTTAAATATTTAATGTGTTCAACTTTAAAATTGGATAAGAGGAACTATATTGCATGCAAACCCTATGCACACAGTTCTTTTTAGGTGAAGGAACCATTCTTGTAGTTCCAAATTTTGTACCCTGAGTAATAGTTGATCGTCAGTTTTCTGAATATATTTCCATTGCTTCTGGGTGAAGCGGCATACAAAGACATGTAAGGAAAAAAGTCACTGAATAATTGTGAACTATGAGCAGGCTTTTTTAAACAGCTCATCTTCGGCGATAACTTTTGTCAAGCTTGTATTTCTCTAAATTGGTAGATAGATCTGGTTTTCCTGGCAATGTGCAGGGATCTCCTCGAGCTCTTCGAATCCTATAAAGTATTGTTATCAATGTAGATTTCTATTGTACATTTCTGTGACAAGACTAATCACTGTAAATAGGTATTACGGGCGTTTAAAACGTTGGTTTTGTATGTTCTTGCTTTAAGGCTGTGACAGTTCTCCGTCAGGAGCTAGGAAAAGCTGAATTCAACTCTTGTTACTGAATAATTAGACATCTTCCCGTTAAGCAAAACATTTGTATGCTCATATGTCCATCCGTAGTTCAATTTTCTCTTCATTTGCATTTTAGTTTCTTAATCTAGTGTTTACGATAATAATTGAAAACATCTCATGTCATTACCTTTTAGATGAAGAATCGATTTTGCGACCCCACTTCGCTCTTTTCAACTCAAAGATTTGAAACAGTCTCACGACATTTAAGGATTCATCCAAAAGTCCAAAATCATTTGGCCTGCTTTGAGCAGAACCTGCCCAAACTGTCTTTCTCGTCGCCTAATTTTCTCTGTTGTTTTTCTATTTCAAACTGGAAATCAAATTTGGAAATTTTTTCCAACGTTTCCAAAAACTCTAAAAAAACTTATTCACAATTTTTTCAGACGGAATATTACATGGTTTGTCACCCAAAAAAAAAAAAAGAAAAAAAAAAAAACTAGAAGAAACTAGGCACTGTGAAATCTAGGAAGAGTGATTCTGTTTTAAACTGACCATTTCATCGTTTCACTCAAATTTAGCGGAATAATTTAATTTTACAGACATGTACCAAGATCTGGATTTCCCATGTTTTTGTGTTCTTTATTTTATATTTTTCTCACGTAATTATAAGTCAAATGTGTATTGTACTTACTCATGAACGTTTGTGTTTAAGATTTCTACAAACTTCCATTATGTAAGCTGGCAGGATTAGTCATTCCAATTGAAGTCTTCTGCCCTCCCCCCCCCCCAAATCAATGCAATTTGGTTTTATTTTTGTCAGTGAGATTACTCTTCGTTTTCATTTTCTGACTAATTTCATCCCGGAACAAACAATGTTACTTTGCTTTCGGATGTTTATCATTTGGCCACAGTTATAGAGTTACTTCTTCTAATTAACCAAGTCACCTCATTTTTTTCTTGTAAACTGAGTTCTTTGTCGATGTATAAAGAATATTGCAAGATATTCTTCAAATAATTGTTAAACAATGTCTCCAAGCCTTCAGCAATTTTTCTCGGAATCATTGTTTTGTTTTTATGAACGCAGTTCTTGAATTATAATTGATCACTGGGAGTCTAGATTTTCAAGACATTAAAATATAATTTTTTCCTTCTCAATTCTGCAAAATTGAGCCTGAATTCTGTAGGTACTGAAGTACAGTACTTACTTTCTCATTTTTGAAAGTTCAGCCTTTTTACCTGGAGGCTTTCTCATGGAGGAGGAAGTTTTTTACTGGTTAAAATCAACCATGCATAACAGCCCGCGGCCAGATTGATTCAAAGTCAAAAGCCGAAATTTGCCAACTGTGATTAACTCTAAACCATGCTGGGAACGGAAAACTTTCTCAGATTTTAAATCTTAACCTACAAATGTTGTTGACTGTATATTTTCTTTGTAAAACTACCTTGTGTACATACTTTTCTGGAAATTGTCTGTTTATAGCTTCAATTAAAAGTCTGTTTCATGAATTTTAACTATGGATCTTGGTCATTACTTTTCTTTATCTGCTCATTAAATATGATGTAGTCGAGCCAAGTAAATTTGAAGATGGGAAGAAAATTTAGGTTACTATACAGCTAAGAGAGGTTATATCTGTATCATTTGACTGGAGAGACACCAGAAAATTCCAAAACCTCTTTAAAGTTAGAAAAATATAAACCGTAAATGGGTCATTGGCAGAGGTTGGAATTTTGAAATTTTTCTACAAAATATCGAAAGCACCGTGTGAGTTAGGGATGAAAATATCCTGGGTTTTAAATCATACAGGCATTATGAGAGTTATGATGAATCAGACATAATTTTGCGATGGGGAACTGCAATTCCTGGCTCATTTGTAAAAAACACTTATGTGCATAGGGAAATTAATGGTGCATGCGTTAATTCTGAACGAGCTAGAATTTATAGTTCCTTATTGCTAAATGTAGGAAGTTTAATTACGTGCATTTGTTGAAACACACAGGCTTAAATGAGAAATGCTACTCACAAGGTAGTCCATTTTCTTAACTTTTCTCCATTATCTCATATCGGGAAGAAATCGTTGAAAATGTTTTTAAACTCAGCTCATTTAATGCGATTTTAGGGAAATTGCTCTTAATGTAACAATAGGTACTTGCTGTCGAATAATGCAGAGGTCTGACAATCAAACGTTAGTCAGGGTTCCATTTTATTATTACTTTTGAGACATTCCTGACTCAAAACTTTTTGCAAGATTGCAAAATAAAAAAAAAAAAACTACAAGACAGTGACAATTTTCATTCAGTGCTGAATTCAAATTTTACAGTCCTGCCTCAAAGATGTCTACCATATTAGCTATATCCCTATTAACAATGGCATTTGAAAAGCACTTTGTTAAAAACTATTACTACATACTTTTCAAGGAACCCTTTTTGATTTATTTTTGTAGTGAGATGTTCGTCTGGTAAAATTTACAGAAAAAAGTCCTTTAAAAAGCATTACTCTCTCAAGAGTTTTTTTTTAACCTTTTTTTCAAAAATTTTGAGTTTTATAAAACTAAGCACAGTAATTAATCTTTTAAGAGTTTTTTAACTTTTTTTTACTTGAATTTTTCCTCTCGTTGATTTTAATTGAAATATACCCAAGGAGGGTTCCCTAAAACGTAAATTTTGACAGTTTTTTTAAAATTCGTCCTTTAAAATTTACGAGGTTTATAATGATTTTTTCAACAGTCGTTGCTACTAGGGAAATCTTTCACTTATGGAACCAGTCGCTGTGAGAAAAGCTGTAATTGCCCCCCCCCCTCTCCCCCCCTCCCATCCGGCCGTAATGCCCAGCAACGTTTCCTTGCAACGCAGAGTTCGCATGAAAATTTAGACAGCATTATTGTTGCAATGTTGCATTGCACTTTCATCACCACCCCGCACACCCCTTGCAATGTTTCTTCAACCCTGTCAGAAGCGTCATTGTCGGACTCGGAATTCCGGGTGGACAAGCTGAAGTGATGATCTACATGCTTCTCATTGTTGGATTTTTCGTCAATTTCCGCGTGTACTATCAACAGTTCTGTCGACCTCGCTACGAATTTATTCGAGGTCAAGACTAAACTTCTTTTTTCTGGTTATTCATTCCCGATTATCAGGTGAATCTTCTCCAACACTGTCAAGGCCCGTTTTCCTCCCCCCTCCCACCTTGCACTTCGCCGTCACGGACTCACGGCCCGAAGTGTCACGAATGTCTAACCGAACACCCGCAGCCTCAAAAATAAGCGCAGGCAGTTGTTTTGAGTATGAGTCATTGATGCGCATTTCTTTTCACGCCAATGATACGTGTCCTAAGTCTCATGTATCTATGTAATTGACATAAATTGAAAGCAAAGTTCAAGACTCGTTCAAGAAAATTTTTCGACTGCTGAGAGATCAAGTTTACCAACTGTGGAGAAGACATCGCACTATTGGCCTCAGTCAAAAAAGGTGTTTTTCGCTGATCTTATAACTTAGTCCGGTCGAAATAATTACAATCCTATTTTGTTTGATTCTTTTGAATATTTTAAGAAGATTTTTGCGGAAAAATGAGGCCATGGTGCGTCTTTGAAATGCGAAATCAGGAGGGGAATCCATCATAGGTTGGTGCACTGGGTACAGTGTCGAAAGGGGGGTGTAGTAAAAAGGCAGCCATAATTGATTTATACCTGTGTTGTGATTTTGTTGTGGTCGACTTTTCGTCTGAATCCTGAGTCCTGTGAGGTTTCTACGTCGTGAAAATTCAATCAGATGCGTGCTATTCGCTCTTAGAATTCAACTACCGTCACTTTCTACTCCATCCATCGTCCATTAAAAGTTGTGGAGAATGTATATCAAACCGGGAATTTCTCGTGATGACGAATACGATTATCTGTTCAAAGGTGATCTTTTGTTTTGCATTGGTTTTGCATTTTTTGCCTGTGTCTCGCACCTTTATCATCTTATCACCCACATTCCTGCTTTTGTCTCGTCTTCGCCTGAGAACCCTTTTCCCCATCGATGAAACTTATCAGCGATGAAGTCAGGTCCTTCTCAGCCTGATTGTAATCAGCTGATGCTGATAGCAAGACTCTTTTGAATATAATTATGATTTTAAATTATTCATTCGATAGAATAGTTAATTCATATTTACTGAGCATTAGCATCTCTTCTTGCTTTTGATCGGTATAAATTTTTATTGAACCCCTAGGCAGATGTTCCCTTGACTTTTCCCAAGCATACGAACGACTATTCGTCTTCCTTTTGTTATTGTCTTCAGTCATCGCTTTAGATGTTTTGTTCTTCCATTTTATCAGACTTTCAATCCCTGGTCAGTTTCTAAGCTGATTAAAAATTGACCTGCATCTGCTTCGCTCCTATTAGTTGTCCTTAAAGTCGCAATGTAACGACAAATTTACAGTCTCATAAGCTTCTGAATTTTGCTTGTCAGCTGGGAACCATACTTTCCTCAAACTTAACTTTGTACAGCTGCCTTTGTCTCTTCCATTGGGGACAAGGAATTTTTTCATACCTAGAAACCCTTCTATCAACCCTTATACGTTAGCCTCACTTAAGTAATGAGAACACCTGTATGGATTTGTAGGCATTTTTGGGGAGGCAATCCCTTTGACTGATAAAGGCAATCTTCAGCGCTTTTTCTCTGATTGCAGCATCTTTCAGGGTGACAATGACTAAACAGAATTGCATGTCCCTTATCCATCAACCAATCCTCTGGCCATTACCACTGGATCTTTTTAGTTTTCCATCAATCTCTATTCTATCATTCCCAAAACTCTTTTTGAGGTTAGGTCTGTGACCTGAGGCGATCTCAGATCATTAATGAATCAGTTAATTTCACATCAGCTCTTCCTTAAATTTATCTAATGTTTTCATCATTTTGATTTTGAAACCAAATGGAAACTTCTGTCTGTTTGACATATTTGTGTGAGGACCGCTAATTGGATCCATTTTGTGATAGAAGTATCAAAATATCGATGGGCCTGTGAGTTAATTAATAGAGCCATCGGTCATCATCAAAGAGGACAGACGTTTTTGAAGGTGGTTTTGAAAAGACTTGCATGTACCAAAGCACTTTGGTAGACAATGTTTTGATTGTCAATGTGCCACCAGACGGCAGAATCAGGGAAAGAATCTTGTTAAGCCATGTGGAACAATCGGAATTTCAGTTTTTATCAAGACACTCTTATGACTATCCTTAAGAATTAACTTGTAGCAGTGTAATTCATGTTTGTGCAACCAGATGCCCCAACACTTTGTGTTGATCTAGCCAATTTGGAGCCTGAACGTGGCAGATTACAATTTCAAAAAGCTTGCTTCTTAGAACTATTATTTTTGATTTACGTACGTCAAAATGATCATACCATTAGTTTGATGCCTCATATTGTGCCCATTACTCAATATGCTTGCGAATCACTCCCCCAAGCCTAAGACCAATATCCTAATTTTGAACTTTCAGGTGCAAGGGCCCTTTTCTAATGAATTGTCACTGGTGTTCTCTTCATTCATTTGTGTCCTGAAAATGTGTCTTTTTTAAGTGACTTTGTAACTTTGGTAACCTACAACTGTCAGCAATCAAAACTTAAGTTTTTGACAAGTTCTATGAACTTGCAACTAACTACATCTTTTTCAATCTCTTTCTGGCAGAGAGACTAATCCTAGGAGAGTATCAATTGAAAAATTACCTAGGTGCCTCTTGGAAAATTGATCCATGTAACAAGTTTAAATCGTTGCTCATCGTATCAAATGCGGAAGTGCCAAACCATGCATCTCCATTACGGTGTTTTAAAATTTCCGCCCCTATTTCATTTTCTTAAAGGATAAAAAACAAACCTATAGCCTGAAATTTATACAGAATATTCTGCCAATAGAGAAGAAAAATCAAGAAAGTTTTCAAGGTATCACATTGACTGGTTTTTCCAAGAAAAAATTAAGTATGACAGGAAGTCTGCAACATCTCTCACGGAGATACATTGTTTCGCACTTCGGTCACTGACATACCTAGCGCCCCTCAGATTTATCAAAATCAGTTTTCTTTTTTGTCTGTAATTTTTTCAGTGGCCAAATTCCTTTGATTATTTTGCTCTCACATCCTGGTTTTGTAATACCGACTTGTTTCTTTGCAGTGGTTTTGATCGGTGATTCTGGTGTAGGCAAATCCAATCTGCTTGCAAGATTCACTAGGAATGAATTCAACTTGGAGTCTAAATCAACCATTGGAGTTGAATTTGCAACCCGTAGTATTCAAGTACGTTCTTTTTTTCCCATTAATCTCTCATTTTTTTTTATCATTTGCAGAATTATTGCCTTTGACCAAACAGGCGATTAACAACTAATTATAGCAGAAATAATATCAGGTGGTGAAACTACCAAAACATGCATCTCTGTTACATTGTTTCAGAATTCCTAGTCTTAGTTAAGTAAAATGTTTCAGGAAATTGTCCAATGAAAATCGCAAAATAGGTACGTGATATCATTGGTTTATAATTGAGGCGGTGGCTGCAATATTGGCATGCATGGGAAAACCTTGTTTTGAGAAAAACGTGTTTGAAGTTTTACCTTGTAAATAACAAGTTTTATTTTTTAGAGACACAGCAGGGTTTTGCTACGAGTTTAAGGTTTGAACCTTTTCCAAAGAGTAGCCATGCACAAATTTATCAAATAATTTAGTTATGATCGATCTGTTGATTTTTTAAAAAGTATGCTATATGCTGTTTTTGCACCTACCATTTGAAGTTGCCAAAATTTGAGTGAATTTAAGAGTAAAATGATAGAATGATGAATCTTGAACGTGCTTTTATCGAATTCTAATGTAAATATGGTAATTTTAAAGAAAAAAAACTGCTGGAAATGAAAAACTTAGGAAACACAACAAGTCCTTTTGGCTTATTAAAAACTTAATGAAAGTAAGTACGAGGTCTCTAAAGAAATGAAGATAAGGTGGTTTATCCAGAATGATGAGGAAGAAAGTGAATTCAAACCAAGAAGTTCCTGCTTTTAACTTCATGTACAGGGAAGTGAGTAGTCAGAAATCGCCACAGAATCATCACATGATCATAATATTAACAGGGGCGATAGATCTCGAGTGCAGCATTCAATTTCGCTGTTAGGTGCAAAAACTATGTATAACTAGGCATATGTTATTATTGCTGCGACGACCTCAATTGATATATTTATCATTTTCTGCTTTTTGATAATGGACTTTGCAAAGTGGAAGAACAATTGAGTAATCACAACCTATCTCAATGTTTTTTATCATAACAGTCTATGTCTTCGGTTCTTTCGTGAATTCTTTCAAAGATGTTGAATTTTCACAATAATTATTTAATATCGAAATAATTATAAGTTTCTCTTTGAATGTAGGTTGACAACAAAACAATAAAAGCCCAGATATGGGACACGGCCGGACAGGAACGTTACAGGGCTATCACATCTGCGTGAGTACCTATGTATCATTTATTATGAAGGAATCATTACCATCAGAACATAGAATCCTTGCACCCAAAGAAAAAGGTCACTTTTTTCACGACTTCAGCTTAAAATCTGGGATTAACAGAACAATATTAATAAATTAATAGAAGCTTGAAAATTATCATTCTCAGGTGTTGATATTATAGGTGGAATCCCAAAGTAGCAAAGCTTTTGTCAAATTGTAAAAATACTTGACCTTTCAGCCAGAATAATAACGAAAGAAGAATCAGCCTTTGAACAATTAGACCACTAAACCACTTTTAGACCACCAGATTGGGCAAGAAAATAAGTATACAACACACGCATACACTCAAGAAGCAAAACATGTCTGACTGAACTGAAGTTTTGATGATTTGATAGTTGCAGTCAGAAAAAACAAGAATAAAAAATGTAGTTAGGAGGAAAACTATCCGGAGTTTTAATTTGTCATGATGCAGAGACATCAAAGTTGTCAGATCATTTTGTAACTTTATGAACTGAAAAATGGACTTCATTTGCTGTATGGAACTACCATTCTGGCTCAACTATTGAAGGTAGCTCCTATTTGCATAGGAGAATTAATAGCGCATTTCTCGTTTTTTATGTGAGGTGTAAATAGTTTTATAATGTGGCCCAAATACATCAGACTACTTTTTTTTGGTGAAACTCAAATTCCGATTTTGCAACCCAACCTCCTATAAATTGCGCTTACAGTAATAACTTTGCTATTCCAAGGAAAAATGTCATTTTACTATGAAATCTTGTCAAGTTTTTGGTGAAAATGTAAATTTTCCAGGAAACTTGTGGGCATACCTCTTCAAATTTTACAGAGAATTTCATCTCCAATTTGATAAGTATCTGAAAATTTTCAGAAAAAATATTCATGATCCACTAAAATAAATATCTTATTGGAGTAATTTGATTCAAATTTTCATCCTTACAGCTTTTTTTTTTTAGCTTGACAGTTGTAAGGTACCATTTTATTGGGGATAGTTTCATACATTATTTGTCTTCTGCTCGACCTTGGAATAGAATTGCAACTAGCTAACCGTAGAAGAATTGCATCTCCATTGGTCAGATCTTACCAAAACTTCTGTCAGGTTGGCTAGCGACAGGGAAAAGTTGGGAATGTAACTCGACCAGAAAAAAATCAGGGAAAAGTCACGGGATTTTTTGTGGAGCCGGGTTCCACATAAAAATCGGGTCAGCAATGGGCCAGCTGATCTCATTGTTGTGCCAATGTGCCAACCGGGTGGGGCTCTCAAGCGGTGTTTAAGATGACTAAAAGTTGTAAAAAAGTCAGAGGATTTTATTAGAAGTCGGGGAACAATCCAATGAAACTTTGCTAGTCACCCTGTTCTGTGTTCTATCAACTTTGAGTTTTTAATGAATATATTTTTAGAAAGGACAGCTAAACTGAAAGCTTTAAATTACATGAATTCGTATTCCTCTAAAAATTGAAATCAAAACTAGTACCTTATCACAAATGAACAATGCTGACTATTCCACTAACCTGCTTTGTTCCCTAATTTACAGCTACTACAGAGGAGCAGTTGGTGCTCTGTTGGTCTACGATATTGCCAAGCATCTAACCTATGAAAATGTGGAACGGTGGCTAAAAGAATTGAAGGACCACGCTGATCAAAATATCGTCATTATGTTACTCGGAAATAAATCAGATTTAAGGCATCTACGCGCCGTCCCCACTGACGAAGCAAAAAGCTTTGCAGAACGCAACGGTCTTTCATTTATAGAAACATCAGCGTTAGATTCAACAAATGTTGAAACAGCCTTCCAAAACATCCTAACAGGTATGATACATATTTCTTTTCTGGCTCTGCAGAAATGCAGAAAAATAATTCTGTCTGAATTTTGAAGAGAGACAGGGGAAAGCTAGAGGAAAATCATAGAGTACTGCTGGAAACTGTGAAGGATCATTCCATGCCAACTGGTGCTACTTTGAAAAAGTGACCCCCTCAGAATTTGATGAAATTTGGCATTCTCAGTATACTTACGTTGCTCAGTAAAAATCCAAAATTTTGAGTTGATTCGACCACCCGTTGGGCTTTTATGAGACACTGATAGTTCGCGAAAGTTGATCTCTTTTGAGGGATGTCACCACTTTACTGATGTGTAACTCCGGAACAGTCCGTTTGAAATCAACCGTTCTGGTATTGTTGAAAAGCCCTGAAAAAGAGCTTCTCAGATATGCATAACAAAATTGGGCTTAACTCAAACTTTAAATTGTTGTTAGAAATTTAAATTTCTCATGCGTTTGACGATAAATAATCATGCATGAGTTCATTAAATTCTATTAATATGATACAAACTTTTGAGTTTTAGTCCTGTGTGATTAAAAGAATAGAAAAATAAAAAAAGCCAGAAATTCTAAGAAGAAGTATGTCAATGTTTATTGTCTCATGCCATAGATCTTGGTTTAGCTTAGAACCTCCCTTTTGACTTTGAAGATAGGAATTGTGTTTTAGATTTTTGTGCTTCTCAGTCGTTCACTTTGATTGGAATCAAATGATAATTCAAACAAGATACTTCCGCCCCTCCCTCAGCAATTTAAAAAAGTGAAGCGAAATGGGCTTTTCGCTGACTTTTCAGGAAATTTGCTTTAAATTGGGCGTTTTGCTGTGAAGCAAAAAATACTGGATTGCAACAAACAGTCTATTTTTAAATTTATCACACGCCTGCTTTTTCAATGAGACTGTCAGGAAATATTATCACTGCGTCTCACAGAAGGGTTTTTAACATCCCATTTGTCTGTCCACAGAAATCTATAGAATCGTATCTCAAAAACAGATGCACGACCCTCCAGAAGGAGACACAATCCGCCCGCAAAACGTCGAAGCAATCGATGTGAAACCCACAGTCAACACAGATAGCGTCCGCAAGTGTTGCCAATAGCGTGTAACCTGTCTGTACAGAACTAATCTCTCGCTAATCTAGGTAAGCTGTGCTTTATTCTGTTCTATTCTCTTCTGGTCGGTCCTTGAGAATTCAATTTTTTGAACAATGCTCTTCGTGGTGAAATCAAAGGAAAGGCAAAAAGGACTCAAGCTGAAAATCCAAATTTTTCATCGCTATGTTAAAAAAAGGGAAGAAAAAAGAAAAAAAAAGCCAATGCTGGAGTCGCAGTCATTGAACCCTATTTTTTATCGCAATTTCATTCATATAGACGCATTTAGTGTGACGTCACATCTCGATTTAATTTCAATATCTCGAAAGTCGAAATGTGCCCCAATAAACAAACTCAACGTTCGTCCGAAGACTAAGTACTATGTCACGAGCTTATTATATTATCAATCCATGTGTATGTGGTCTCAAACGTTTTGGAAAATAACTAGCTTTCATAATTTTACGGTCTCATGGATTAATGTTTCAGTTTTGGGCTAGTTTTAGCATTCTTTCATCAATTGCCCATTTTGGAGGTTATGTTTCTTTGTTGGGGCACATTTCGACTTTCGAGATATCGAGCCAACAATATCGCTCCGTGACGTCACCACTAAATGCGTCTATTGCTTTAGAGATGTAAAATTTTGCGGAACCAACCTGAAGTTGAAATTATTCTCTAGGCACCAAAGCAGAACTCATACAACAGAGCAGTGGTAATGAATTTTTGTAGGGGTGTAGTTTCTCTCATGTAAAATTTCCTGTAAAAACCTAAAATTTTATTACATAGTTCAAAGAAGCATTTCTAAGGAAAGAAAAAGCTAACCAAAATTTGACCTATGAAAAGCTGACAGTCGAGTTGACGTAGCTAGGCGATGCTTGAAGCTGAGTTCACCCAATCAGCAATTACTGTCTCCAGGGTGTCTACCAGTCCCTTAAAGTCCCCGATTATCCCTGATTTTGGAAGGGTATCCCTGAAAGTCCCCAATTTTTCTGTTCAGGTCCCCAAAAAATGACAAAAATCGTCCTAAACATAGGCTTTTTAGTCGTGCGGCGAAGCCGTATAGACTCTAGGTTTCGCCGGAGGCTAAAAAGTGTCCACACTTTTAGGCTAAGTCCAAGAGGAGAATTTTCGAGGAACCAAGTAACATATGAGGTATTGATATCGGTGCATTTTGGCCCAATGGAGATGTTACATGTGCGAGGAATTTGCAATTTAACTGTTGATTCTTGTATAAAAGTTCGCGAGGAACACAATGGTGCCACTGGTTTTCTCTGAAATCATCTCCCAAGCTCAAAAAAAGCTCTCAAGTTGAGGCCAAAATGGAGGGGATATCCCACCTTACCCTGAGAGTCCACGTCTACATGAAGACCAACTCTCCATGCAAAGATAGGGAGCAAATACATTAGCAGGGTTGCCGTGTTTTCAGTTTTGGAGTGCCCAGATAAATTGGTAGCCCTGTCAATGTATTAGCTCCCTATCTTTGCATGGAGAGTTGGTCTTGATCTAGACTTGGACTCTCAGGGTAGGGTGGGATATTCCCTCCATTTTGGCCTCAACTTGAGTGCTTTTTTTGAGCTTGGGAGATGATTTCAGAGAAAACCAGTGGCACCATCGTGTTTCTCGTGACCTTTTACCCAAGATTCAACAGTCAAATCGCAAATTCCTCACACATGCAACATCTCCATTATGCCAAATGGAATTTCTGATCATTTAGCCATGGTTTGGTAGCGTTTAGCAATCAACTGTGAC